ACAGATTTTCTTTTAAACTTGCCTTTTACCATCACCATTATACTAACTGACCTGAAAGACGTTTTTATTCCGATAAAGCGATGAAGTATATCAGAATCAGACCATTGGTCCAGGACGCCAGCCAATTAAAAAACCAGTCTAATGAGCAACGATAAACATAATATTACCTAGAAACTTGATGAATTTATAAACACTGACATGACGATTATGGGTTTTATTACTGACAATTGAGTTACCATTTACATTCTGATGACTACTGATTCCTATTTAGCTTCCTTTAGCCTACAAACCTATTTTTCACTTAGACTTTAAAGACATAATAGTGATATGTTAACTACCTACTTTCCTAACATTTGGTAACAAATTGTCTTTTTGATTCTCTTTATCCTTTGCCTTATCCAACAGGTAACCTTATTAACATAGTCTATTTTTTTTAGTGAGAGGAAAATATTAATTTAAAATTTATATGTGCCTCAGAACTGTTAATTTTTCTTTTCGATCAGTAACATTAAAGATTCTTTAAGCCAACTTGCGTCGATTAATATGACTTGTAAATATTTATATTAGAGAATCTGAATATGATTCCTATTTAATCCCACCGAACTTATTTTTGTACATTTTACGTAACTTAATTTAATTTTGAAGTTCCAACTAACCAATTTTAGTTAAGTTGGGGTTGCAAGAAACCTTTGGAAGTGTGATGTTATGTTTTGCCACTGATATTTTAATTGAAAAATCAAGTTGTACCAAATTTAGATACAAACAAATAGAGTGTTTAGAAACATTAAATGTTATTTGTGGACATTTGATGAGTTTTTTTTATCAATGAGAATAAAGGTAACTGTGACGTTTACTGAAATGACTATTTTATCTGACTTGACAAAATAACATAGCTGTATGTGTCTACTTACGCATACGAATTTTATATTTACAAACGTTTTACTAACACTTTACCCTACTGTATCGACTTTTAAATTTAAGTTTTCAAGTGACAGTGTGGATTTTATGACTCTACTTTTACAAATGACTACTAGATTTATTGACTAGTTCGTTATTGACAATTTTTACCTCTTTCCTAATTTTTCACAGAACATGACAACAAAAAACTTCTACAATGACAGTAAGAGAAAACGACTGACAACTTTGGTACTTCGACCTGATTTTTACTGTTCACAAGACAGAAACCTGTACTACTTTGACAATGCTGAATTTTGTATTATTTGTTTGTAGTTTGAAAATGCAATGTGATGGATTTGAGTGAGAGGTTAAGTTTATATTTTTTTCATCTTGTTAGATTGTAATATTGTTGGGACACAATTTTTGTTTTTATATTTTAATTATATTTACAAATCACTAGAAAAGGTCACTGTTGTTAGAATTTTGGTTTGATTTTATTTTATATCTGTCCAATTTCTTAAGGTACGGAATCTTTAACTTCTTTAAAGCAAAAAAAGTTTTACAAGAGTGTGTTCTCTTTAAGAGTTTTAAACTTTTTCAAATTTGATCAGTTCAATGTAGAATAAAATAACCATAACCTGAAAATTATTTAGCTTAAACAAACTCTGTATTTATTTAGAAAGAAAAAAATAACAAGAAAAAAATAACAGGTTTACATAAATTTTAATACTTAAAATGGAGGTATTTTCTGTGATTTTAATGTATTTTATAGATTACACAATGAGTTATTTTTGTTAGCATCAAAAATGTCTCACAAGTGGACACATATATTAATTTATGTATTTAGTATTTGGTTTTTAATATAATAGTATTTTATGAACACATATATTTTTATAGAATGTGTAAATCCTAGTCAAATGGGTTCCTTTAGATACAAACAACAGTTTTCTAACATCAGTTTTATACAAAAATTAGTTTGTGAAATAGAGTATCTAAATAATTTTTTATCTTCAATAAGTAAAATTAACCCACTTGTTAGTAATTTTATAGTTCATTATAAACAGTGATGCTTACATTAAGTTATTGTACAAAAATAAATACTTATTAGTACAACCTACAAAAGGAACCCAGAATTTACATTGGTATGTTTTAAAGGAAGGTATGTCACGTGCATTTGGATTTTGTTACATAGTCTTTTGGAGCGATCTGAAATTGATATGTAATTTAAAAATCCAAATGTATCTGTCAGGGATTGGACGAATAGTTTAATATGTTAAGTTTGGGACAGCTTAAGTTACATTCTTATACTCTATCTTGTATCACACTGTTAAATAATGTTGCACTATGTAAAAATATTAATCCTTAGATAAATATTATTCCTTGAAAGGTGGTATAAGTTAGCATAAAAGGTGTTTTATTTCTTGTACAGTATATTTTTACTAATAAATTGTCTTATCTCTATTTCGCTGTTTATTTTATATTATTTTAAAAATATTGTTGTACGCAAGTGATATTTTAACTTAATCATTTTAAGCTTTGTATATTTATGTATTATAGATTGAAATATAAACTATTTTTATTAAATTGAGTTTTATTATTAGCCTTTCAGATGTGATATTTTTTACAGTAGCTTTTATTTATCATATAGCAAACGTTTTACACTATCGGTTTAAAAAAATAATTTAAACAGAAAAATATAAATATAATATAAAAATAAATAAAAAATAAAAGAACATTTAAAGGACATTTAAATAAAAAAATTAAAATAAAATTTTATTTATCCAAAAATACCTAATAAAACTTGCAAGTGTTTTTGTAACCAACAAATTTTAGAAAACTTGTATTTTAGAGTTGAATTTAAATGAATATTTAGGGTGTTATGGCAATTGAAAATGAAGTTAATGTTTGTAGTTAAAAACCATTGGGTAAGATTAATTAATATTTCCAATTACAAATATTTATTTGTTTTTCACCCTTTTATAGAGTTAAGAGCAAAGAGCAAACAATCAAGGGCATACAATATATGAGTTGGTGAAACATTCAAAGTTGTGAATCAAGAGTTAGTAAATCACAATAAAATAAAAAGTATGTATTTTCAACACCTTACAAAGTATAAACTTCATTAAAAGATTGTTTCTAGCAAAAAAAAAGCTTCTTCACAGGTGGCTAATATCAGCTTGATTATTAAATTTGGAAATGATCTTTAATATTTCTGATCAGTAATAAATTCACTTGGGAAGCACTAGTTGAGTTTTTCCTTTACCATGGACGACAACATGGTAAGATTTTGCAATTGTGTGTATTGTGCTGGAATTCAAAGGATCTTCCATGCTTCTGCTGAAACCAAGGAACAATTTTGGTAAGTAACATCTCAAAAATTGATCCTGTAGACCTCTAATCCTGCTGTAGACAATTTTACAGACCAAATAAAATACAGCATTAAAGAACATAAAGTGTGCTGATTTAAGTTGGAATTTTGGAATATTGGGATATTTTAAAAATCCCTATGCAGTAAGATATTTTGGGTTGTAAAAATATTTGTTGGCGTGATCAAAAAACGAAGGAATTATACATTTTTTCCAACTCATTGTCACAATTTCAATCGAATATATTCAATTGTCTCAAACATTAAACAGTAAGCTTTGCATAATTTTCAAGATCTGACTATCAATAGTAAAAATACCCCCCCTTTTAAAAGTGGCCATTTTAATTAATTTGTGAAATGGATTCTGTAGATCCTATTGCAATTTTCCTATAGGATTGTATACCATATTAAGTACCTTTATCAAAGGAAACTTCAGGGTTGTGAATAAATTAATTTCCAACTGTACCCATTCAATGAGTAGAACCAAAATCACTTAGTAGTAGATATTTAGGAAGCGCTCAATTTATTATTCTCTGAGATTTAGAACGTCAGGCATTATACTCTTGAATAGTTTATAATAATAAACTTCAATAAGACACGACCCTCATTAGAATTAAAAGAAATTATTTTTCTAAAAATTGTTCAACCTCCTTTTGTCATAGTAAACACAAATTTGTACTTTCAAATACGCAAAACCTGCAAATTCACTCAATGGGAAAGCGTCGGGTGACAATCTTCCCAGCGACAATGAAGATAAGTGGCTTCCATCAACGGAACAAATATTGTGACAAACAGATTGTCATGGATATAGCGGCATGACTAGATGGATGGATGGAAAGTAACTCCGTAACACTTTCCCCATCCAACGGATTAAACACTTTCATACTCCATACTGGGCGTGTAATGGATTCAGTTATGATCCATTGACAGGCCGAGTCAGCTGTGTAACATACTTTGACTGTTGATTAGTTTTATCTTTGTTAAATAAATCAGGTTTTTGAAGTTGGTTTAAAAGCAGAATATACTTTCTTTTGACACAAATAGGGATGCAAAGATTCAATAATGCTATTTAAACCTTTTGTTTGAACTTAATGTGTACACAATGTTTAGTATCTTTGAAATGTATTATTAAATAGATCATTTATTTAATTTATTATAGTATAGCTAAAATGGAACATGAGAAGTTGGCAAGAAATTTGTACACTGGCACACAAAAACAAAATATTTTAAGATATTATTGGAATTTGTTGTTCACTAAACAACTGAAGATTGTCTAACAAGTTATTTTTTATTGTTAAAAATGTTAAATACGCTTTTAGGCTATGTGGCCAACCATATAGGCGAATTATTATGTATTTTAAAAGGGTGTATAAAATAAAAAAATCATTTAGTTAGGTTATATAAATTGGTTATCAGAAAAGCTTATGATGAAACCAAAAGATAATTTTGGACACTAACTGAAAAATTAGGATAAAAAAAAGAATTTAAGATCAAAGTAATTTAAGATGTGATTAAAAATTCTTTCACAGTAAACAATAAGGATACCTGGGTTGTTTGAACAAAGTTAGAAAGTGGAAAAAATATAGTTAAAACAAAAGTTAATCAGGGAAGTATTGCAATGTTACGAGGAGAACCAAAGTGCTCGATAAGTCTTGTTAAGAAACCGAAGAATGATAATTAAAATCCAACAAACAAAACCTTAGAGTATGCAATGAGAAGGTGAGTAAAACACAATTCATACAGACATAAAATACAATTTACTTTGTCACTTTGTCCTTGTTAGTGTACATTCTATGAAAAATAGCAAACCACTTTACATCTGTTTCAAAATATACATTCAGAGTGTTCGGGGAACACAATTCAAAAATAGAATCTTTGGATTAGGAGGGATGCCGACTATTCTACTAAAAATTGAAAACTGCAACATTTGGAGGAAAGTGCAGTGAGTAGATGTGCTTAAAGACTTGGAAAGATTCAATCTAAAAATAAAAATTAACTTTTTTCATAAACATAAAAATTATCAAGTATCAACATTTTTCTAAAGAAAATTCACTGTAACAAATTCTAAAAACAAAAACTATGTTTTTTAACACAAGGTAATTTTTGACAAGTTTTACTTACAAAATAAAATTTGTGCGTAAATAATGCACACTTTAAAATCGACAAAAAATGAAATTGCATACAACCGAAGTATATGTTTTGAAATTTATCCATAATATTTACAGTACTTTGAATGAGGTTAACGTGAAAAGGAAGTGCTGCACACAATGACCAATGATAAGGGTTGTGAATACAAATCTTATATATTGTTAAATTGTTAAAATGTGTGAGACTGAATTTTTTCTTTTGCGTTTTAATTAGATAAAAAGTGATTGCTAATTTAAAGTTTAGTGACATGATTAAAGGGGTAACATGGTTTCAGAGTTAGTTGCAATTTCCTTAACAATGTTTGATAAATAAATAAATAGTCAATTAACTTAGTGACTTTAGGCGCTTTTTATTATTTATGAATTAACATTTAGCCACTTCGTAGAGTTTTCATAAAAAAATTAGTGTTTTTGAAAAGGCGCAAAGTTCAGCTAGGTTATAGGAGAAAATTAGAGTTTGGGACTTTACCCTTTTTTGTAAAAGTAATTCTGAGTTAGAATGAAAAAAAACAAAAATATTTTTCACACCTCTAACAAAGTTAATTATGAAGCTGAAATGATGTATTAAAAGCACAAGTTTGCTAAGCGGTGGGATGTTCTTTATGGAATGGCATGATGATAATATCTACAACATGATTACTAATCAATACACATGCAGAAAAGTCAATGTCTTTTTGCTACAATATTGGACATTTTATAGTTTATTGGGTATTTCAGATAATATACATATTACATCAAACTTTGTATGAAAACTTTTACCGGATGAATCCAATAAATAGTGTTTATCATTTTTTTCAAATAATTACTCCATTATTCTACCTTGTACAATTCATTTTTAGGAATCCATTGGAAAACGAAAGAAAACAGTTAAGTAAGAATCTCTGAACAGAACTGCAAAAAAAATTTCAATTTTTTCTTAAATATCTTTGCATCAAAATCTACAAAGCAATTTATGATGTTATTACTGCAATGTAAAATGCATTAAAAATCTAGGTTTAAAAAGCACAAACAACAATCAAAAATTATTAAGTAAAAATTTTTTAAATTTTTTATTTAGAGTACCTACTTATTGTACATACAATCAATTTAAATTTAAAGTGGATTTTGAAAATATTTGTATGATTCCAAACAGTTTTTCAAACCAATTTTGAATGTTAATGAGCATTGGGGAAAATACACAACCCAATTCCCAACTTATCGTTTATGTAATATGCATATTAACTTAAGAGAGATGCTTCTTAAAGCTTGTAAAGTAAAATAAAGAGACATTTAAACTTTAACTTATAACACTTGAGATTCGATTTCTTCATTTCTCTTGTCTAGAATCCTATTTACCAAGCACACTTAAGAACCATCTCTCTGCTTAATACCATTAAATGCGCACTGGGTATAACTATTTATTTTAAAATGCGATATAGACATATATTGAAAGACAATTTGAAACACCTAATATTAAAATATTTATAAAATACAGTACTAAGCAGAATAATTATGTTTGCAATATTTGTACAACATTGAATTTATTTACGCTACATTTACTCCCACTATAATGTCATCTATTATTTATTTTTATTGTTACTTACTTGACTAATTTAGGTTTGAAATTTGTGTAAGCAATGTATTGAGGAAAAGATAAAAAATACCTAAAACACTCAATTTAATTTATTCTTGCAACAACTTAACATAATTAAAAATACATTCAAAAGTCATGGACTATTACTTTACACAGTTTTAATCTTTTGCCTAAACACAAAAAGCATAACTGAATATACAAAAGCGTCAACGCTTGTGTTTTAATCGGTTTAAAAAACAAACATTAAAAATTGTTTGAAAGAAAACAGTGAGTTGGCAGAACTGTCAACGGACAATTATTTTTAGTCTTACTGTTTTGTTGATGTGTTGCCAACTTAATAACTAAAAGAATAGTTCTCATAAATCACTCATTCTTATATAAATAAACAACTATATTTTCTACAGATTCACAAATACAGCTATTGTATTCGCAGCTTATATTATGATATCACTAAATTACAACAACTAAGATAAATACAAAAGAATATCATTTCAGTCTGAGGACTTTATATTTACAATTTTTCGGCAAATGCATACGGCTCGACAAAAGTTACAATTTAAAGTAACAAACGGAGAAAACTACCCTATAGCTACATGCTGATGTAGAAACGTATTAAATACATAGAGAATTATCATAATTGACGATTAAGGTTTAGGTAGGAAGAACGCTTATACTGTTTCTGATGCTTAGAACAATTCTTAAGAATTTCAAACAAGGAAGCTTTATTGGTATGGTTGCTACAACTGATAGAATCCCGATTCCCATTTGCCACAAGGTAAAAATTTCTTCTTCTTACCGCAACCTAATCTACAGCATTGTAAACTATTTTTACTGAAAAAGACATTCGCAAGTAAACTGTAAGACTCGAGTATTTACAAATTAGAATAATATTGCAAAAATATTACAAACAAATTGATAAAGCGAAAAGGAACAAACAAAAAACTTCACAAACCAATGTCCAACAACCAAATTATTCTACATCATTTTAGCGAAATAAAAGAAAATTTACTCGTCAGACAAAGGTTTTTGGCGAAATAGCAACAATAAAAATAATACCACAGATATCTGGCACTGGGGAAAATTAGACGACCGAAAACACCAATGCAGCGATACGAATTAATCAAATTATAAAAACACATAGTTAAAAACAAGTGAGTCGAATCGTAAAACAAAAACAGCTGATATCGGAGGGAAAGATGAAGATCTACGAACGAGGCGTTCTGAAACAAACAAAGAGAGTGTTGTAGAAAACTGCTGGAACTTGACCAATAAAATGTAAATAGAGGCATTTCAGAAAAGTATTGAAAGGCAATGCTAAGAGAGAAATCAATTAAGTTTATATGCTCCAATCAATGAAGGGTGAATACAAATGATTTATTTTACCCAATAGGCCTAAACAATAATTCTACCTTGTTCTGTCATAGGACTATTAACTGACCAGCTGAGTGGTTATAGTGCTTGCCCTCAAACCTGAGGGTGTTGGTTCAATTAGGGACCCAGGTGCTTGCTTCTCACTCGGCTAGCACTTGTTAACCAGGGTTTAGACCGTTCCATAAAAAAACTTAAACAATGTCAGTGGCATCACCATAATTTTTAAAAAATCAAACAAAATAGGAAAAGTAATTAGGAATGAAAAAAAACCAGTACTACTGAATTTGAAAATTCTCACTTAAAATCCATCTGTTATAGAAGTTCAAAGAAAACTTATGATCACTAGACAAGAAATGTAGCGTCAAACATCAAAACAAAGCTCAAATTGTTCAAGTACTAGTACAATTATAGGATATTAGATGCACTCACGGGCTAGGGCCTGGGTAGTAGTATGGCGGAGGTCTCTCATACTCAGTGGACAACGGGCTGCTGTTGTAGCGGGGCGGCCCCCCCATGTTGGGGAAATCCCAGTGCCTAAAATATAACAACAATGAATGCCAAATCCACAGAATTATTAAGTGTATTCATATGGATTTTAGAGGGGAAATATCTCCTATAACAAATACAGCTATTTGAGAGACAAATTTTATCTCTGGTCCACCAAAGCTCATGATGGCCTACTAACCATCAGGGCAAAGCGTGATTGGCAGGACGTGAGCCCAGAACTCCAGTACCAAAGGCATGTAACCTAACCAGCTTCATCTGTATTAAAAATCAACACTTCGCCAGTGTGTCTGCATCTGTATTAAAGCGATCTTACACAGTTTTAGTTTTATATTGAAAAAGTTTCATTTTTCCTATGTTTGGCAGGCATTATATAAAAAACAAAGAGGGACCCAATATTGACCCCTGTGGCACTCCACGTTGCACTTTATCCTAAGATGAATTTACATGTTGACCATTTTTGCTGATTTTAGTTCTCTGATGTCCATTTATTAAATAGGACGAAAGCCAAAGTTGTTTTTTTCCTACAACTCCAATTTTGCCTAGCTTTTCAATTAAAATGTCGTGGTTAACACAGTCGAAAGCGCTGGATAGGTCGCACAGCACACCCGCAGCCTTCTGCGACGCATCCAGCGCCTCAGCTATGTGATTAACCATTTATGTTATTAATGTTTCAATGACATACAAAAAAATGGCTTGACTAAATCTTTTTTTTATTAGCAGATTATTTGGAGGGCTGCTGGAATTAGTATGAATAGACCTACCCGCTCCTTCTAGCTCAATTTTTGTCATGTAAAATATTAAATTTAGGGAAAATTCAGTTGTTTTTGTGTAAAAAAGTCTTTGATTTAACAATTGACAATATGTCCTGTTATTATGATGTACTGACATGTAATCCAATAAATAAATACATAAATATTATCTTACCTTAAATTCACTTTTTTTTTATTTCCATGTCTACCTACAGTATCAACAGAAACCTTTTTTATATAAAAATACCACCGCCGCAGCAAACCTGCCGACTAAGCGAATTTCCATTTGTCTGAATTGATTTTCAGTTAAATATATTTTAATAACATTAGGTTTAACGAGTACCTAGGTTTGCTGCTACAAGGAAACTAATAAAGAGTGTTTTTGAGTAAAATATTGATAGCTTAGTACAAAATAAATAAATTTGCCAGGTTTGATCAAAATATATCCATAAACAAGCAAACTACAACATTTGACAATATTCTCCATAAGAATAACATGGGAATTTTAAATTTACAATTTTTTAAATTTTCTCCGTTACTAATAATCGAACAAAAATACTTTTATATACTAAATTATTTGTTTTTTTAAGCTCTTTAAAAAGGTCTAAAGAGAAATCGGGAAATTTTGTGTTTTGAGGGTCAAAAGTGAGAAAAACCAATTTTTACCCCATAAAACCCCCCGTAAAGCCCCGTTCCCATGGTCCGATCGTGCTGGTTCGCGAACTCATTCAAGTTTATCCCGCTTTACACCATTAAACCAAATTTCATCAAAATCGGACAAAAATTACTCAAGTTATCGCGTTCACGGACGTATATATATATATATATATATATAAGTCTATATATATATATATATATATATACATATATAAAAATTTGAACGAATGGTGTTTTTGGCCTCTGGGGACATCAAAATGAAAAAGTAAATCGGTCCCGGGTCTAGGTCTTACCGTGCCACCTACGGTAATAGCTACTTCCCTATAGGGAAATTCGCTAAAACAGCATACCATAGCTATAGTGTTTGTCGTTTGAAATAATTGAATTAATTTAGTTTATACGAAGATAAAAAACTGGACAAAAAATGTATGTATGATTTCATCATTACACCTATCCTCCCAAATGTGTTAAAGACAAATTTGTTACTGTACGTCGCTATGAACTTGAAATAAACTCTTACATCCGGTTCAAAACTTCTGGTACCCAATAAAAACATGGTACTGTATAAATTGGCAGAATTCATGGTAACCAATTCATTCCATCAAATTCTGAATTCCATCTATACAAATTATCAGTAATCCAAAGCCAATTCTGTAATAGACCACACCGTCTAGGCCTCTTTTTAACAGATCTTGTGCTCATATTGAGCAGAATGATTAAGTAAAAACCAATAAGTAAACAAAGTAATACTGACTTTGGCGCCATATCTGTGAAACGAGGCTCACTGCTGGTTGCGCCAGAACTTCGGCTTCTCTCTGCGCCAGAGCCAGCCCCGCTGGCGCCGCTGTTGTCGTATGGCTCAGCGACATAACGCTGCTGTGGCTTTTTCTTCTTCTTCTCATTCACGCTACAACACAAATAGTAGTGTCATAAAAAGTCCACTGTTTTTAGTAACACTTTTTTTTCTTACCAGTTTGAATTTAGTATAGGTACTGACTTTTAAATCTTACGATACTTAAAAATAATTTCAATTACTGGAGCAAAACTTTGAAACTTGTAAATATGATTGTAAAATATTCCTAATTACTTACTTAGCCAAAGGAATGTTGTCGCGATCAGCGTAAGCATCATACAGGTACTCACTGCAAACAAAAACATATTGATAACCCCATATAAAATACTAAACACAGCAGATTAAATGCCATAATATTCATCTTTTGGAGAAAGTGTTTGGGGGTACAGAATACAAGTTTAAGTAAGTTTAAACATAAAATATATAGGGTATATAAATCACAATATTTGTCATTACATTGTTGAAGTTTCTATGGTGAAATTGACTTGTTTGGAACATAAATCACAGGTGAATAAGAACATTAATTAATAAATAATAAAAAATAAAAAATTTAAATCACATTTTGGTTTTGAAAATCTGTTCAATGTTTACTGGCATGCGCACCATACTGTAACCAATGTAAACTATGCTATTTTGATTTTAAGAAATAAAATAAACGGTGATTTTATATCATGTACAGTAATTGGCTAAGCTACAAAGGTAATTAAAATACAAAATTTGTTCTTGGTTATTTTGCAAATAGTTATGTCATTAATGGAATTTTTGATCATGATAGAACGCATAGGTGTCCAATAGATTTTGAATTATTAAAACATTCTGCTTAAAAATCTATTGATTTAAGGATGCTTTATTGATGTCCCACACAATTGAAAAACCTTAATAAATGTTTTTGTCAACAATTATCTGACCAATAAAGTATCTGCCTACAAGAAAAATCAAATAAAAAATCTTCTAGGCCTATCCATTTGTTACAAAACTTAGAAAACATTGTACAAATCAAATTTGAAATATACTTACGCCTCAACTAGAGGTCCCGGGTAAGGATCAGACTTTTGATACAGTGCAGCCAACTTCACAGAGAGAATTATTGATGGAATGAACAGCACCAGAATGAAGCCTACACTAGCCCAGAAGCCGTTCTAAAAGCAGACAAACAAAGTTAGTATATTTAACAACCCAATAATCAATTGAGTTTGATATAATATTGATACACGAGGTGTGTCCGTAAGGTCTACATTGATTTCCCATCACAACCAAACGAGCTTGTTAAAATCTGAGACCATCATCGCTTTCCTTACTTCATACACAACCATTCTAGTAGGGTTTGTCCATAAATTGGGCCATTTTGTTATTTTTTATTATATATTGGTTTCCAATATTGGAAACAAGAACTAACTGAACGTTCACAAGACAAACCATTCAAAGTTTCACACAGCAAATACTGTAAAAACTTAATTCAACATGTTCAACATGAGGCAACATAGGAAAGTTTACATCTACTACATTTGAGACAATTGAATGGTGTTGTTAGTGCATTAGGCAGTTATATTGAAAAGTTGGATCCATCCTGGTGCACTTGTGTGCGATTCATAGAGTTCAACTGTTTCAGGCAGAGCATTGGAGAGGACAAAGAGAGACTTAGAGTTATGGGTGGTTTCTTTTTTAGTTTTACCTCAAAGACTATTTTCTGATAATCACTCAGTTTCCCAGTACAGTTTTCCGGTACACTTCAGCTGTCCACCATACACCTGTTTTCTTAGGATTTGGATATTTGTTACATGACAGTCAAATTATAAAAAAAGGCATTTCAACTATTGTATAATCACAGCACCTTCAAAGTGGTAAGATTTTAGACTAACAAACGAAACTGGTCAGACCTACCTTGGCGTATACAACAATAACTATATTCTCGATCATCTTACAAATTTATTAGTACAGTCCAACCTCAGTATAACGAATCTGAAGGGACCGAACTGAATATTCGTTATATCAAGGATTTCGTTAAAATGAGGTTCGTTATATAGAGGTTAGGTTTGCAGGAATTTCGCTAAGTCGAGGTTCAGAACCAGCGTCGGTCAATATAGGCCGGGATTTGACCTCATTAAAACACAATTAAAGTAGCATAGGCTACAATACTTTACAGTAGGCCTACAGTGTTCATTGTACAGTAGAACCTTCTGTATCCAATAGTCAATGGTAGAACCTAAATTATCCGGCATAATAAAGGTGAGGGATCTTGAATATTGCGCAATCATGACAATGGCATTGACCTTGGTACAGGTTAAAAACTGTAAGTTTAAAATCACAGCTTGTTCTAACCCTCCTAAAACCTAGCCAAACACTACATTGCGTAGTCATAAACCATGTAAAAAACAAAACAAAACAGTAGAAAGTTTTGTAAGCTACTGACTGCTCCGTGATAGGCCGGTAGGCTACTTCGCCTACAGTACAGTATTGATTTATCACAACAGAGGAATGTCAATAATAATCATTAACTATAGCATTGGTGTTGCTAGTTTTAACAAATCGTATTGAAAACAATAAATTATTAGATAAGTCATTATAAAAGTGCATATTCATAGCCAACTTAAAGATAATAAAAACACTCGTAAATCAAGGGATGTTGTTAAAATAACGATGTTGCTATTCTTTCTCTTTGCTTTTGTTTTGATATTTTTTCTTAGATTTCTCTTTATCCAAAAATTGTACAATTCACCATATTTACTTATCACCCAATCACAGCTTACTACAGATTACGTCATCATCAGTCCTCAGTGAATGAAATCAGTTCTCAGTTGCAACATTGCGTGCGCAGCGACAGCAGACAGAGAGATGTGTAAACGGAGCAGACGAATGTTAGCGCAAGCGATGACGTCACCTTTCCATTTAATTTTATAAAGAAACAGATTTTCCAAAAACAATACTGGGGTGGGGGATTTGTTATATCAAGGGAAAGACGTAGACAATTCGTTATGCAGAGGTTAAATTCGCAATGTAGAGGTTCTGACAATGATAAATTTGTTATATTGAGGTGTCTTATTTTAGCCGAAATCACGAAAAGTTCGTTAAATCAAAGTCGTTGTTATGGTTTGTTCGTTATGTAGAGGTAAAATATACATAGTCTCTTATGGAGAGTTCTAGGGGATTAAAAAAAATTTGTTATATCAAGGAATTCGTTATATTGAGGTTCGTTATATCAAGGTTAGACTGTATGGGAGTGAATTACTCACGTAGGGGTCCAGTATCTTGCTGCATGTGGTGGTGATGGTGGCATTATACACCTGTGAGATCGGCCAACACTTGCCTACACTGGTCTCCACCTGATCAACCACGCGGTTCATGTAGTCTGTGATGTGGACAGTGAACTCTGAGGCAAAGTCTGCGGCAATCTGTAGAAAAATTAATTAGTTTATAGAAAAAGTCATAAAAAAAAAGAGTAAAGACTTAGAAACAAAAATAAAGAGCAGGCAAAGTTATTTTTGGGAGTGAGACTTTAAATATCATCGTTAAGGCATATATAGTAATTATTTTATTTTATTCTCATCTCAAGACACATCGTAGACCATCGCTCATCGATCACGATCACGACTTCACTTTATTAGTGCAGGGCTATAGGAAAATGCTTTAATACAGAGTATTTTAATTATAACTAGAGGTCGTCCAGTGGTGGAAACTCGACCAAAAATATTTAATGTACAGACTTCTTTATTTTCATTCCACACTTTGAATAGAACATGTGATTGGAGTTTCCTTCATTTGTTTTGATTTTCTGTTTATATTTCGTTGTTATTTCCTCACCAGCATGGCAACTCATAATATCCATGTTAAATTTTTCAAAATTTTAAATTTATTTTTTGTGCTTATTTTTGAGCCTATTTTAATTTATAAAGGGATTCTGCACACCTACAGGAAAATAGCTTTCTAACAGTATGCGTAGATTTTCCCTACGATGCACACGAGCTGAGAAAAAAGGTTTTAAAGAAACATGCTTGCCTATTAATATATAGATGTTAAAAAGATAAAATGATGCAAGAGTACAGTCAAAAGGTTTTTAAAAGTTATTAAGATTTTTCCTTAGAAGGACCTCACTCAATTGCCTTTCTGAGGACATAAATCTCTTGATGTAAATTCAGCCAAATACACCAAACTCCACACCTAATGTACCTAGTGGACTAAGTGTAAAAAATGTCTGACAGATTAATACCAGGTTATTAGAAGATGTATTAGTGGAATTTTAATACAATAGACATAACTCGCTATCTTCAGAGTTCAGACTACTGCAGGATAGAAACAGACTATCCTATAGAATAACAGTTTGAGTTTAAGTTCGTCCAACACGTACAAATCATAACCACAAAGAGCTAAGGACAGCAAATACTTGGCCTAATCTTCACTATTTGACTCACCTTGGATATGATCTGAGGTCCCTTCTCATTGAGCATGTGCTGGGCGGCCTCCACTTGTCGCAGCATCTTCTCTACGGCCAACTTGAGGGATGGCTCGTTGAAACTGCAAAGGCAAATTTAATTCATTGGTGAAGTAAAGTAAGTATTACAGGGAATATAATAGGAAAATCAATGTGACCAAACTAATGTTTGATTATTAGAGGATGGTTTATTTTAAACAGCTATCACTCAAGGATTGTTGTTGTGATCATACTCAAACATTTTAATTTTTTATGAACAAATGGTGAATAAATCTAATTTTGGTGTTTCTTGTGCCTCTCCCATGAAGGCTTGCTATTTCAACAACCAAGGCTCTTGTACTTTATGTTACATCATTTACTTAAAATCAAACAAACTTCTATCTCACAAAAAATCCAAAAACCTACGCCCTTGTGCTCTAAGTACTCTATGCCCTTAATTATTTTAAAAAGTAAGTTATGCTTGAGCCATCATCTTGTGTAGTTATGTTCATGTTGTTTGCCTACTCTCTAACTGTACTAACACTAATAGTAATTTTTTCACAATTCTCTGTGTGGTTTATCAACTTTGGCTAGATTTGTGTACTTAGGTACTTTCGCTGATGATGAGATAAGATTCTAGATCCCAAAACGTTGTAGAACTAATACGTGTTTTAACTAATTGTGATTTAATTAGTCAACTATATAAGCTTGCCATCACCAAAAATGGTCTTCAAAGATTTGATTGCTGAACAGTGAACAGATCTTACCGAAGGTGATCTGTCAGGTTAGCAGCATTCTCATTCAGGTCCACCACGAGTTTGTGCATCGCAGACACCTGATTCTGCTGGTGGAGCTCAAGGTACTGTGCTTGGAACATCAGTGAGTTTTTGATCTGCAAATTAAATTTTAAGAATCAATAGAATGTATACAAAGGAAAATAGAAATGCAGTGTCATGCTAGTTAATGAATTTAACTTAAATGAAGTTCTATTTAATCCCAAGACAAAAACAACAGCTTTTGTATGATAATTAGAGGTGTGCTAACAGTTTGATTTTCAAGCCAAACCGAGGCCATGCCTACAACTTCAGGTGACCCAGCAGCCAATTAGAAAAGCGAGCTAAAGATGAGCTACTCAATCGGGATCCTAGAACAAGTTTGCAAAGATCTCACAATAAATCAAATTTATGCTTTTGCTGCAGTCACGGATGACGACGATTAAAATTCCGTGTCCACGGGAGACGATGATGATATCTCGCGGAAGATGTCTGATATTTTTCCACAACCGTCTAGACAACCTCAAATATCAACAAATATCAAAGATTTTGCCGTGATCGCGGAAAACAACAGTAACATTTCCGTGATCACAAGAGATGTTCAATATTTTGCCATGATCGCATTAGACAATCATGTCTTCACTTCCGCAGGAGATGATCAATATATTGCCACTATCATGGGATACAATGATGATATCTACAACTCTGCAGGAGATAATCAAGATTTTTGCCACAATTGTGGAAGACGGTAATGATGTTTCCGTGACTGGTGAAGATATTAAAGATTTTGCCTCAATCACGGAAGACGGTGGTGATGTCTACTTAATTGCAAATTAGCTTAGTTCTACAGTTTTGTCCTGACTCTTGACATAATAATCTTACACCCAAATAGCAATATTCCTCACCTTTATCTGAGACGGAGGTAGTTTCTTAGCTGTCTCAGCAATGGCGTTGGCTAATGTCATCAGATCTATCGACGTTATCTTCTCATTGAGCTGCACAAACAAAATAATTCTATAGAAATGTTTTAAAACATGTGTTGTACTATTTAAATTTAAATGAATATTTAGAAATTGAAATGTAAACAACCAAGTTGGAACTTGTAGAGAATCTTTCTTGCATTTAAATAAATACACGTTTGATTTATCTTCTCCTTGGCCATAGTTAATATATTTAAGTTTGAACAATTTAACCTATAGCAGGTCTCAATAATACAAAACTGTCTAAAAAATATAACTCATATGATGGACAACAAAATAAGCTTGAAAAGATAATTCTTCAAAATTGTACTTATTAAATTTCACACAGTAATAAAACATAAAGAAACACTCACAACTTTAGTGTAGATTGTCAGATTGAACTGGTTTAGTGGTGAGTTGGCCAATCGGATGAGTTGTTGTTTGGCGCTAGGAGTCAAGATATCCACGTGGTTTTCCAACCTGAAAAAATATTTATGAATACCACCAGCAAATTTTGTCCATTTCTTTATACAATAGAACATGTAACATCACACATTTCTTCAAATGTTTCAAGTTTTAAATACCCCCGCCGCAGCAAACCTGCAGACTAAGCGAATTTCTATTTGCCTGATTCGATTTACACTAAAATGTCTCTTTAAAAATATCAAACTTATTCCCTATTTAAATAACATTAGTTTAACGAGTACTTAGGTTTGCTGCAACAGGGAGGGTAAAAAGGTGTTTATTTGTAAAATGTAAATAGTTTAGTATGAAATGAACGCATTTTCAAAATTTGATCAAAATATGACCATAAACAAGCAAACTTCAACAGTTTACTTATTCTCCATAAGAATAACATGGGAATTTTAAATTTACAGTTTAAATGGTGCATAATAACGCTTCAATACACTAAATTATTTGTTTTTTTTAATCTCTCCAAAATGATTTGGAAAGAAAATGCTAAATTTTAAGTTTTTAGGGTCAAAAATGGGAAAAACCAATTTTTGCCCCATAAAACACCCCATAAACACCTGTTCCCATAGTCCGATCATGCTGGTTCGCGAACTCGTTCTAATAAACGTATGTTTACAAGTTTGTACCAAATTTCATCAAAATCTGATGATTTTTGCTCGAGTTATCGCGCTAACGGACACATACACATATATAAATATATATATATATATGAATTTGAACGGATGGTGTTTTTGGCCTCTAGGGACCTCAAAACGAAAAAAAAAATCGGTCCCGGGTCCAGGTCTTACCATGAGTACTACGGTAATAGCTTATTCCCTATATGGGAAATTCGCTAAAAGAAAAGAGAAAATCTAAAGGTGGCCTATAGGGAACTTTATTTAAAGATGAAGAAGACTAGTATAACTGGAAGTGCAACATTTAAAGTACCTATTACAGTAAAATTATTAATTTGTTTTTATTGTTTTATTTGTTTCCCTTGCAAGGCTTGACCCTTATAAAGGATATTCCCAAATGTAAAAAATACTACTACAGTTTGATCTTAAAGCCTAAGCTGTGTGGCTGTTGCACTTCACCCTCATTGTACAACCAATGCCTGAGTGGCCCTTTTTTCTCCCCAAACCTGGCATTTGAAATTAACAGGCCGCCACACACTATGAGAAAAATCAGGCTTGCAAATTCTCGACCACTAGACATCTGTTGACTAATCAAAGTTATCAGCGACTCGACCTACCATGCGTCGTGAGATCGAAGCTTTAAACCAACCTGATTTTTCCGGTCAGTTCCTCAATCCGGTGGTTGATGCCAAACTCCTGCGGCAGTTGAGGGTATTTAGAGATGTCCACCAGGTGACGTAGCTCCAACACATTGTACAGACTCTCATTTGCGTGGCACTTCCTGCAACATTCACATCAACCACATGTTTAATACATGGAGCAGTGCTCTACCAAGGTGTGAAAGATTTACTGTGGACTCTAGAGAGGATCCAATGACGCCAAAAAGCTTTAATATAGGTCAATACAATAGTAGAGATGAGTCGATTCATGATACCAATTTTTGATACACCGATTCTTGTACATTGGTAACAAGAATCCATCGTCAGGAGTTGATGCAAAAATTTTGCGAGATCGCACTGACAATGATAATGACTTAACGTTGTTTTCTCCCATTGTACGACTAAAAATCTTCATTGTCTCATGTATTTACTGACCTAACAATGCTGCTGAGCCGGAGTGGAGGCACAGGTCTCTGTGGTGAGCCGTACAGTCTCAGTGGCACCTGCTGGTCCACCAGCTGGAACAGTCTACTCTCTGGATGGCGCATGGTGTAGCATACGGCGCGGTCAGCTAGCACACCAGTCATGAAGTAGAACACTGTCACCACCATCAGCACAGCCCAGGACAGGAACATCACCCAGACACCCCTACAATGTTGAGCAGAAATATAGGTCAACTAGTCTTAGTAAGTTATTTAGTTTATTATTGTGAACAATTTCCCATCATAGGTAGTTAAAAAAAGTTTGCAGAGCGTTTCAGAAGTCTAATCCCGTCCTCAGGTGAGAGTGTGTAAAACTTTACAAGATTAGTACACTAACCCAGCCTAATATGAAAAATCACAAAAGAAAAAGTACACAGAGAACTGAATTGTTATCAAAACAAGGAACAAAAATCCCAAATGAAGTAATAATTATTGCTGAGTAGGCAAATACGATGGAAAAATCTGCACAGGATAGTGGCTAAAAGGAGACCCACCATACTAATGAAGATCCTTGTTTCTATCAAATCGTGATAGGTAATGTTTACAATTATCTATTTAATAAAATAAAATAAACATCACAAATTCACAAAACATGTAAACTTCAAACAATGTAAACTTACAAAAACTCTACTAATATAAAAAATCTACCACAATATTTACTTTACAACCTTATACTACTAACAATACGGACAAGGCGTCCGCTTATACATTATCGTCTCCCTCATCATTCCGCTACACCCGGTATGTTACAGAAGCACAGCAGAGTTACTCACAGCATAAGAAACCTCGCGCCAGTGCCTTTATCACAACAGTCATCGTTGTAGCCTCCGTCAGGCCGCTTGCCGCAGTAGCCGCAGAACAGTCCGAACGTCAGACAAGACAGCACCACCAACAACGTACAGCTGACACCCAGTCCCAGGTAGTGTCTGCGGAAATAACATCACTATAATACACACTAACTAACACTGAAACTGGCACAGATGCTCCTCTTTAGCTCTAGATGCTTGCTAAGAATCAGTGAATAGTATCATAGATAAAACATACTCCCCCAAGTAGATTTCTCATCCTTATGCAACAGCTGAAGACAATTTTATTGTTAGTTCTGTACAGTTTATGTAGAGGTCGTGTTTTGTTTACAATTTGTTTCCAGTTATTACAGTCATTTAAAACCTCGTTTAACAAAATAATACGCTCTAATCATAAACAATAACTTGTCTCCTAGTTATATAACCAAACAGCAAAGCACAAATCAAGAAATCTATAAGTATAAAATAATAGAAACAAAATTTTGTCAACACTAGCGCCCAGTGTCACCGTACATGAACTAGACACGAAAAACGTGCTTCAAAATTTACAATGGGATGACAAGTCTACTTGTGTTGGTTAGTCTATGATAGTATAGTATGTGTGTATGTGTGTGGGTATAGTATGTGTTGTAAATATTTAGCCTATATTTTGTTATTCATGTTAAGACATGGTCTGAAAACTGTAAATTGTGACTTGCTCAATAAAATGTTATGTATCCTTACGGCAAATAAAGATTTATTGAGTGTTTCACCTTAGAAAGCTTGATACGTTAATGAGCATTTAAAACTATTTTAGAAACATCAAAGCATTGATTAGTTCTTAATTTTTATAATTACTGCAGATAGAAGATGTTACTCACTGGTAAGGTCCATACTCGTGAAGGAACTGTTCTCCCACATGAATTGGCTCCTTACTTTGAGTCAACATTATGTCTCTGGCTCTATCCAACATGTTAGTGATCTTGTCTGCACCTTCCTTGCAAACAATACCTGTTGACAAAAAACAAGTGTTACAGACAGACAGTTCCATCTATAGTACAACTGTACAAAATTAAAGGATAATCGTTCAAATTCATTTGGTGGTACAAAATAGGGTGATCTGATGTAAAACTTGACAAGCAAAGAGCGAGGAGGCCTCCAAATAAGATATTTGATCACTGGTTGATGAAGTAATTCTTTTTTACACCCTTTGAGGTCAAATGAATTAATATTTCATAGGAAAATGAAAATGGAGATGGTGGTGTTGGAGGGAATTAGATTGTGAAGATGGTGGTGTTGGAGGGAATTAGATGAAGGAGATAGTGGTTTTGGAGGGAATTAGATTGTGGAGATGGTGGTGTTGGAGGGAATTAGATGAAGGAGATTGTGGTGTTGGAGGGAATTAGATTGTGGAGATGGTGGTGTTAAAAAGGAATTAGATTGTGGAGTTGGTGGGGTTGGAGGGAATTAGATTGTGGAGATGGTGGTGTTGGAGGGAATTAGATTGTGGAGATGGTGGTGTTGGAGGGAATTAGATTGTGGAGATGGTGGTGTTGGAAGGAATTAGATTGTGGAGATGGTGATGTTAGAGGAAATGAGATTGTTGATTGAGATGAAGAGGGATGTGGAGAAGAGAAAAGTAAGATGGCAAAAGGAGAAGGGGGATAGAAGAAAATGGAAAGGCCTAGTCGACCTAAATCTGAGATTAACAGAAACAACTGTTTTTCTAAGTAATGCAAGTTAATTTGAGGAATTATGGTGATCATTTTGCATCACGATTAGATTAGGATCTTGAATTAGATCCCATCTTAAGGTGAAAAAGTATTTAAAATAGTAACACGAATCAAAATAATAAATGATTAGAAAAAAGGTGAGCACGATTTACAAGTCTGCACACAAGAGACATCCTTAATTTTTACTAATTATGATGAAAATGCATGCAATAATCCCTCATGTAACTGACCAGCTCGCTTGATGGCATCAGATATGAGTGGTTTGCCTTCGTCCACTATCCTCTGTATGTGGTCCCGGACCTTCTCAAACTCCTGCTGCCCCTTAGTGACCTCCTGCTCTATGTCACTCTCCAGCAGCGCAGAGACATTCTGTAGACTGGCAGTTACATTGGGCAGCTACAACACGTCAAAAGTCATAAGTCATTTATTCTCTGAATAGGTACATTTTTTACAATTATACATCTCAGTCGTCAAATATAAGACCTAATAACATTTAATAAATAAAATAAACAATAATTAAAACTGAAGATACAATCAGCCAGACATAAATTATATTTAACTGTACGGCTCTTTTTGTAAAAGGTGGGCTTTCAAACATTTTTTTAACTTTTTTTGTCAGAACATTCCTTTACACTGGTTGGAAGAGAGTTAAACATCTTAACACCCGCTGTAAAAGTTTCTCTTTCAGACAGGGACAGGTGGATTTGTGGAAGAAGATCATAGCCATGTGTCTGGTGGGATACTTATGACTACCTCCAACAGCAGGAAGACCTAATTTTAAGAGAATGTTAAGTTTTTGAAAAAATCCCCTACAAGTGCGATGGTGGGAGACTATATAAAATATGAATAGCTCGTTTCTGTTCTATAAATGCTTTGTTTGCATGTGCGGAACCTCCCCAAACCTCATACCATATGATATAACAAACTGAAAGCATCCATGGTAAACATTGATCAGGTCCTTTTGATCAAGCAAGGAAACCAATGTTCTCAAGGCAAAACTCATGTTGCTCAATCGACCACAATGATCTGTAATATGTGATTGCTACGTAAGCTGAGAATCCATAACAACTTGACTTCAGAAAGTTCTTTTATGAAGATTGCGGTAGTTTTAAATGCAGTGAATTTTTGTTTTTGTTAGGAATTGGACTTAACTAGTTTTATTCTGATAAAAAAAAAAATGAAATGACAGCTACAGGTATTTGACTACTTTCTACACTAATTCTACATCAAATTCTAGCTAAAAATATGATGCTGTATGAACAAAATTTAAAATGAGCATTGAAATATCTACTTTTTTTTAGATAATAATCTTTTCATTTTTTACCCTTTCAAAATTAATAATAGGCCTAAGTACAAAATTAATAAAAAATAATAAGTACAAACATTTGGATACAACATTCTTTTTCAAAATTAAACTCTCAATTTTGATTGTATGGTAAAGTTTCACATTAGGCCTACATTTTAAACACTATTTTACTTATATTGTATGGGAAAATTCTTTTTGCGTGATTTTCTACAGAAATAATGCATCACTCAAAAGAAATCTTAGATGCAAATAACAAAACAACTACGAAAAAAACACTCAATAAAAAATTCTCAAGATACTGAAAACAAAACTGTAACATTATCCAAAATTACAACACTTTTTTGTCTACCACTAAAAAACAATCAATGCACCCACCTTTGGTATATATTTCTCAAGTAGCTTTGCATGAAAAAATCAAACATTCGGTTAAACATCAGTTGTAAAGTCAACTATACATAGTGTAATGGTGCAACTTAGTCTTCGCAAATTATTTGACTAACAGATGTGTTTTGAATTTCAATCCATATAGGTGATCTCAGGGTTTTTCCTGTACTAGCAGGTCATGCAAAAGTACCGTAATCATAGAATTATCATTTAAAACTATTACTAGACAAATGTGTAGTGTTTCCATTTTACACAGCAATGTAAAAGTGAATTTTAAAATCTCCTGTATCTTTATTTCGGAGATAAAATATTACTAATTTTGATTACCATACCCAAATGATTTGGTGGCCATCAATTAAGTATATTTTAAACATCAAATATTTTCTACACTCATAAAAAATTGAATGATTTGGCGTTTCATAAAATACCTATGAGTCTTGTAACAATACAATGAAAAACAGAAAAGTTGTTTTGTAAATAAACAAACTATTCACTTTAATTGTAATATATTTTCTTGCCAATGTGAAAACTGGGGGTACTTACATGAGCAAAGTCAGTCTCAATGTTGAGATGTGTGATGTTGTAAGTTCTCAGAAACTCTATACAAGCTGGCTGGGACTGACATTGACGCAGCTTCTCCATCAGATTCTCCCGAGTCTCTCGTAGAGCTGCGGAAAACATAAAATTATAAACTGTTAGTAATATTAGTCAGGAACAAAACCTTTAAGATGATTAAGCTTCGTCAAACCTATGAACGGAGGGAAATGCCATCAGGTGATTACTGATGGGTCAAAAACAAAAACTTTGGAAGGAACAGGATCATGAGTTTTAACTGATAGCCAAGTCATATACAACACTTTTGGCCACACTCCTGGTATGTTTCAGAGGTAAATGACAAAGAAAGGTACGTTCATTTTAACCTAATTAGATATAGATACAGAATGAGGAATCCTGTCGGATAATCAGGTGACAAGCAAAGCTCTAAATACATCCGAAATCAGGTCCAAGATGGCATCAACTAATAGGAGCAAACAAGAGGTGGGCAATAACATAATTGGGTAAATAATACTATCGCAAGTGTCACATATTACATTGATATTACCTCAGTATCAGACTACTGAGAATAGCATTTTTTATAACGTCATCAGAATTGGTAGAACTAGCAAGTAAAATAATTCTCATGTGTGTCTTTCTATTAACAGTGACTGGTTGAAATGTACTGGAGGAGGAAATAATAGGTGACAATTATTATAAAAGGTTTAAATACCTGCTATTAAGCAATCCAATTTTGTTGTTGACACAACTAGTTTCGGTGTCTGTGTGACACCATTATCAGGCTGCACAAGGACAGTTTTCTTTCTTCATACGAAGAGCGTCATATTTACACGAAAATAATAAATAAACATTTAAACACGACACAAACACGAATACGAGACATTTATGGTAACTGATCAGTTAAGAAAACAGACGACGCTAACCCGACGGAGTTTGAGTCCAGACTCATAACATAAAAAACTGTCCTTGTGCAGCCTGATGATGGTGTCACACAGACACCGAAACTAGTTGTGTCAACAACAAAATTGGATTGCTTAAAAGCAGGTATTTAAACCTTTTATAATATTATTTGGCAATCCGGAGGCTAACAACTACAATGAAGGTGACAATTATGATAGTATAATTTCACCTATAACCAAAATCAAAGGCATGATCCTGACTATTATTGTATAGTAGCGTTGTTTTGCTGCGATCGTTCGGACTCACCTTGCTCTAGCTCTATAGCCTTGTCCTTCAACTGCACAGAGAGACTGTCTATGTTGGACAGGTCACTTCTGATGATACTCAGTCCTTTGACAATCGTAGTCAGGTTGGATATCACCTCAGCCTTAGATACTTCTCCTAACTGCTCTTTCATAATCTCCCCGCTCTCTGTAAAGAAAATTCATTAATTAATTGAAATATTGCTGATATTTTATAATAAAGTGAAGTATACAAACATTATTTTATCGTCCTTATCATTTGATTTATTTTTCAACTAACTAAAAAAGTTATTTGTTTAACTAGTGGGCCAAGTGGCACTTTGCTGCACACAAGAGAAATGTTTACGTACAAGCCTTGGAAGGTGTGGGATGTTTTTCAAGTGCAACAAAGGCAGTTTGCACTCGCGTTACACATTATATTTTTCCTACAGTTACTATAAAGCATGTTTAGTTAGTCTTTCAAACACTGTACAACACGTTTTTAGGTTAGGTTGGTTAAATCCAAACATTGAACAAAATGGGAAACGCTGCACCAGCTGATCGTAGTTTTAATATCTTTAAGTGTTGCCAACTTATTTTCAAGCGTAAGCATATTACCTGCCTAAGCCTAATAAAAGCAAGCTGTTTTGTGTTGTTTGGTTGGAATACTGGTGTGCGACAAAGTAAAAAGTGTGCGGCAAAGTAAGTAAATGCAGCAAATAGCAGCTTTCTGTACAAGGTAGGGATTGTATCAGTGCAAGGAACGCCACTTTGTCGAGTGACTGTAGGAAAATATAATATACATAGTGATCTTGATAGCATGATTGATGAACTGAAGTGAGTTCTGGTTTAGCTTGAAGAACAAAATAATAATTCAATGGGACCACACTTTCTTTGTTGCACAGCCAAATAAAACTTGTGGGTCTTCCCCTTGATTTAGCGACTAATCAGTTAAGTTCATTAGAGGCTTTGTTGAGCCTGTTATTTTCCTTGGTTGTGAAGAAAAGTCACAATAACAACTTACTGTGTAGAATAGTGTTTAAAGTTGTCTCCAATTCCCCGTAGTTGGTGACCAGCAAGTTATTAACCTCCTGAAATAAAAATCAAATGTATTCACAACCTTGTTACAGCAAGTGGTGTATGAGAATTAAGGAGAATGTAAGTTTAAAAAATTTTCACAGCCAATTATGTTTAAGCAATTATGGAGGAAATTAACTATCAGTATTTATGAACTTAAGCTACTCGTGGGATTTTTTGAACCTTTAGCTAAATAAGGCAATCTAAGCACTTTTTTCTTCTGGCTCTTTTGGGGGGCCCCCCGAAAATTTGCGTTTCAAGGTTGCCTTATTTAGGCATGTGAGGATGGTATGTCCGCCTTAATGTGAATTTGGGCACAGAAAACGTACTACTATAACCCAGAATGCCAACCGCATGGTAAAAAGCATTAAGTGTTTTGAGAGAGCTTTGCCTGTCAATCCGTAGGCAGCACCACCAGCGTTGCTATGCTATTGCATGGCGACGCTGGTGGCGCTGCCTACGGATTGACAGGCAAAGCTCTCTCAAACCGCTTAATGCTTTTTACCATGCGGTTGGCATTCTGGGTTATAGTAGTACGTTTTCTGTGATTTGGGGCTGTAAGTGTTTTGAAGCAAGTTTAGACTAGGTAAGGTAATGTTTAGGTTATAATAAACCGAGTTGTGAGTTTACATTACCTACGGACTGTGTTTATTCAATTAAAACACCAGAGAAACCACAGCAAAATACTATTTCAAAGAGTTTATTACAATACAATTTTGATTCATTCAGATTTTTTAACTCAGTAAGCCAATGACAGAAGGTTACTAATTTCAGCTTTTAACAACTATTTCTAGCTTTTTCAAAAATCGAAGTAGCAACCAACGCTATTTAACATGTTTACCAAATCAGTTATGACTAAGGAATTCAAGGGCTAAAGAACCGAGCACCAAGTTCATTCTGTTAATGACCATTCTTTGTGATCTTCTGGTGACCTTGCCAACTGATTGGAAGTCTAGAGCCTTGATTGGATTAGGGGAACTTCCTTTTCAGCTCACGCACACACTTTAATGAGTCATCTACGCAGCCTTTGGGGCAAGACAAATTATTTTGACATGACATTACTTATTTTAAACTACAGTAGACCCTCTTTTAACCGACCTTGAATAAAACGATGATCGGATTATCCGTGTTTGAGTTTATTGGTGACTTTTCTATCGTTAATACCTGAGAAAAAAAGAAAAGTTGTTTATTTTGAAAATAATACAAAACTTCAGAATAGTGATTATACAATTTCAAATTAAAATAACACTTTATTTAAGGGATTGCCCGTTTTAACCGACCTTTTGAATTCCGACCTAGGCCCGGTCCCATTGGGGTCGGTTAAGAGGGAGTCTACGTTTTCTAAAAGACTCAATTGCAAATTTTCTGCTACATTAACTACTAGCTACATGAAAAAATAAACTTCTTCTTACTTTCTATATAAACGTGTTGTTATTTTTACTACCTTCTTTGTGTTGTTGAGATAGAGATCAGTGTCGGTGAGTGATGTTTTGAGATCATTGGGCAAAGAGCGAGTCCCAGTTTCCAAATACTCGTTGGTCACAAAAGCGCAAACTACTCCGAACCTGTGAAAGGATGACATGTTTGTAAAATCAGTTTCAAAAAAGATATCAACTTCAAGTTCAATATAGTTTTATCTGGTGCCTTAAATTTATAAAGATTGTGTTAAAAATTAATACAATTATCGTTCAAATAAAAATCGTCAACCCTTTAGAGAACCTATGATGAGTTTGCCAAACAAATTAGCAAGAAAAATGAAGATTTTGTTTTAAATTTGCTGAAAGGTGTCACCCCATTAATGTAGCTAAAATCAAGTAAGTTCAACAATTTGCTGATAATTTATTTTAAAATACACTTAATACTGTTGAAGGATACTATTTCTTTACATGTTTTTTCCAACAAATAATATTATGTTTGCTGTTCTATTATGTATGATTTCTACTTCGATATAAATACAAAATTTTCAGAACTCTATATATAAAAGATAAGCTGGATAATGAAGATGGTTGAATGCGCAACTCACGCTATCATAATGGTGATGCAGCTGAGGAAGAAGCCGTTGGTGTGTCGTCTGCAAGGATCATAGCGCTTCTCAAAGGGTTGACTCCTGGCGCCACAACGACCGGCGCAACGGCAACAACAGAAGAACAACCCGACCACGGGTACCACCACGACAAACACCAGTCCCACCTGCAAACAGATGAGTGTGTGAAGTTGCCGACTTGATTATGACAAGTAGATTTTGCTTTTAAAACAATGTTATCATATAATCTGAAACAATTTTGTAAGTAGAACGCCAGTTAAGCAAATTCTGGTTAACGGAAACCCGGGTTAACCGAAACGGTTCCATAAAATAATACAAGGCTAAATTATAAGTAATACCAATGCTTTAGTAACTTCAGTTATTTAGTTTCAAGTATTTTCTAACCCCTTGTAACATTTCTGTAGCTAAAATAAAATACTGTATTATATAGACATTGTTTTAAATTTATTTTCCAACTCACCGTAGTAATACATAGGCTATTTTTAGCATATGACCACGGTCTCGTTAAGGGTCAGTGGAGCCCCTGGGCAAACCCAAACCAGCGCCCCTTTTTTTCCTGGTGCGGGCGGGTGGTGGTTGGGGGGCACCTGGTGGGCGCCCCCAAACCCCCAGCGCCCCTGGGCATATGCCCAGTCTGCCCGTTTATAAAAGTGGGCCTGCATATGACGGGTTAACTGAACAATTGGTTATCCAAAATGGCTGTCCCCCTTTATTTTGGTTAACCGGGGTTCTACTGTACCCATAAATATCACTGATCTGTAAGAGGTAGTGTATTTTCAATTCAGCAGAACGGTGGATAGAATTTAAATCTGCAAAGATCGGATTGCTAAAAAAGAAGTAAAGTGAATCGGAATATTCAGGATCAGAGAGAAAACAAGAACAAGATATTGTTAAAAATCTATAGGACGTGAAAAATAGAGCATGACTAAGGCAACAAACTATTTGATTCTATCCTGAACAAGACTTTGTGTTTCCTCTGCTCCTGCTCAGTCCAATTAAATGTCTCCCTTAGAATAATTTTCTGATTAAATGTAAGACTTCTTTTGCTCCCCTTGTTTGAATCTAGTACAGTGGTATAATCCAATAGAGGGGTGGTAAAGAGGAGCAGAACTGCTTTTATAAATGGGCCCAGGCATGCAAGAGGTTTTTAGGTTTGTTCGGGGGTGCAATTATTCTCGGGCGTATCACACAATATGCAAACCACGGGCCTGGTGAGGGGTTCAACTAAAATTAATGGTTAATTACATACAAATTGAATATTTTGCCATAGAGTGACTAGCTTGAAATAATTATTTCATCCAACCACCATAAATCAGATACAGTATCTAGTTTTACAGCAAAAACTCTTTTCTAGAGGCAAAAACAAACAACACTCTATACACTAAATTTTCACTCAAAGAAGTTATGAATCTGCACTAAAGTAATTTGTTAATTGTTTACCACAGAAGAAGATTACTCTATATTGCTCATTCTTGGCGATAAAGTTTATGCTATTTGAGGGATTATAGCACACAATTTATATTAGGATAGTTAAAAATGACTTTTTACAACATTTCGGGTTCTGTAATCTGATCCTGCCCTCAGTTGAGAAATGTTCTATATAGTTTTTTTTTCAAATTTGTCTGATTTGTGTAAATAATCTTGTTAAAATTTGGTTACTTCGTCATCTAAGGATGAGATTAAATTCCAGACTCAAAACAAAGAGAAAATTTGTTTTATACATTATGGTAAACCGGCCACAATAGTTTCTCAAACAAACTTTATATGTGAATGTGGAACCTTGATAAGAAGACCCTCGATAGCGAGTGACCCTTGATAAGTGTCATTTTCAAATCCCCTTAGATTTATTTTACCCTTAATCACATTTTAAACCTTGATAAGAAGTCAACCTTGATAACAAGTCTTATTTTACAATCCCCACGAGTCTTGTTGTCAAGGTTCTATTGTATATTCTTACATTCCAAATACTGAGACTTTGGAGGTATATTTCTTAGATGTGTTCTGCAATTAAAATCAAACAAATTCAGGCATCGAAAAAGGCACACTATTTAGCACTAGAATTTTCTTATACTCACTAAATACTAAACCTCTCCTCATAAAAAGGACAAATGAATTGTGACTTATCTTCAAGATACCCCATGAGATTATCATAGGTGAAAAGCGACTTCCCTACGCATTCTTTGCTTCATGTATCACCCAGCTTTTGGATGTTAACTTTTATGTATTTATCTCGTCTACCCCCGTATACTCACCAGAACCACTAGTGCTAGTAGACCGTAATGTCTGACTAGAGCCCTCCATTCCTCCTGTATATCAGCGACATCCAATCTTCCATCGGTGGGACGTGTCCTTATAATACCTGTCAGACAAAAGCTTACATTAAACGGCTGAAACTACGATCTTAATACATATATATCAATTTTTAAATGATCTAGGCCTACACTGGCACATAGATTCTAAACACGGCCATGAACAGCATGGAAATCTGCCTGTATTTTTTATTCCTAAACAACAAATGATATACTCTATCTGTTCTTCGCACTGGGTAGATAGCTCAGAAGAGATCGAGGGCTCTTTAAATATTCTATTATAAGCACTTATAATAACAAAAGTCAACGAAAACCCTTATTAAAAAACTCAATGATACTTAGTTTACTAAGTTCTCTATGATTTTATTCAATTCACTGGGTGGCAGAATAAAATTTGGCATATCGAAGAGTCATGTGTTTTTTGTTGATGTAGAACCCAATGAATATTTTCTATCTTAAGTTCAAACTTTGGGGTGTAAAGGGATTTTCATCCCACACCTAAGGACACCTTTCATATTTTTTAAATGTGTTCGCAAAGTTCAATGTTTAAAAATTATTTGTCTAAAATGACGGTCCAGTTCGGTAGTCGACCCCCCATATACTACGCAAACACAGACAGAAACTACCAATTCATAATTAATAGGTAAATAATATAAGATTAGTTATTAGTAATATCAAATAATATAGATATTATCATAGATTTAAGGAGTAGACAGATTAAGGGATCCTGTGTGTCTATTCCTTTAATCTATAATATTATAAAGACGATTTAAATAATGAGTCACATAATTTTAATGCAGAGAAGATTTGTAGCAAAGCAACTAGGAAAAATTAAAGATTTAATATGATAACCAGTAATAATTTCAGACAAGAACAAAAACTTTAAACCCAGACAGATGAGTAAGCAAATTTAACTTGAAACCCCTCAGTAACAATGGCCTTAAAATAAACAACATCACAATGGAAACACTGTTCCAACAACAGCTGGAGATTACTTCCTAAACAGCTGATAAGAGGTCATTAAGATAAGACATGCACCGCCGCATCCTGACTGATAACAGAACAGTGACAAGAATAACAATCATAATACGGCCGTACAGGTTCCCTGTATGCCCAATAACTTAGGATACTAGTAAAATGTGCAATTTAGTTTAATGCATGTCTAATACCCTGATTAGGACTACATGTTAGTATCGCGTTTTATGGTAATTTTTACTTTGGGAAATCCACTCTCTACCCGAATAAAAGCATACCGGTAGATCAAGTCTCTCTTCGTCTACTCTCTTTAATCTTATGTGGGTAATAATAGTCAAAGATAACACTGACGAGAAGTGTTTTTAAGGTATGAAAATTGTGAACGAAATTTAAATACATGCAACTTCATCTTTGACAGGATAAAAATAATGATATGTAAATATATTTTTTGCCAATTTAGACGGAAACGATTCTGTTGAAAATTGTTATCACTAGGATGAAAACAATAATTTACAAAATAACTTAAAATCAAAAGAAAGATAATGGATTTGAAGACAGTATGGAATAATTATTTCATAATACAGTAGCTGTACATTTAACTCGTTGTAACAATTATTTCACATGGTGACCCGGCTCAGATGATTACTAAAATATAAATAACTACCAGAAAACTAACTGACTCTCACCAAGCAAAGCTTGGCCACCAAGCATTAAACACATAATTAGATGACAGCCGAGCCGAGTGAACCAGTTATGAAATGAGCGTGGGAAAGATGTAGCTAGTGTTGCTGTTACCGAGAAAGGGATTACGATTATGAGTACGTTGACACAACATGGGTTGTTCTTCTTCGATCAATGTGTAGAATACAAATCTACGTCATTATCAAGTTGTCATATCAAGTTTAAAGTACTCGTCAGTATCGATAGTACAAGTTTAAAGTACTCGCCGCAATCGATATTACAAGTTTAAAGTACTCGTCACTATCGATAGAACAAGTTTCAAAGTACTCGCCGCTATCGCGTGCTCTGCCCGAAGCACTTTCTGTCATTGACACTCCCACCATGACTCAGACCCGAACTACCGGTAAACTATTCTCGACCTTCTTTTTTCTCTACTTCCCTCTCTCTTTCCTAACGTCTCTCCTACCTTTATACATCAACTGTGAGCCTTTCTACTATCCTGGTAGGATAAGATTTCAAGGCAAACCCTTTCAGACGAAGTATCCAATTCATCGTAAGAAGTATGAATACTTACTTGGCCGTCGTGCAAGCCGATATACGGTACTTTACTCAATTGGTCATACGGAGTACCGTAAATTTACTATTTAGTACTACTGTATTTCAGTTAGCTTAGATTTGATAAAGTAGTTAGATGATACGATACATTCTAATCATAACTGTACAAGAACCACCAGTTTCTGGAAGATTTATTACCCAGCTATTTATAGTATTGATTATAGGCAATAAATCAATATTAATCCAAGCCTCAGATTGGATACGCTGGCCGCTATGAAGAGTTGAAACCAAGAGCGCGATCCAAGGCAACATCTTTTACCGGTACATCAATCTATCAATTATTTAAGATGAGGAGACCACTATGAGCGTATTTTTAACCCAAATATGAGTGTAGGATGAGTGGCGTGATCTTGTAGTCTTGTTAGTGTAGGCCAACATATTCCTTAGACACAGCTATTAATAAATACTACAGAGAATACAGAGAATACAGCCACAGTCAATGGCAAGTAAGGGGCCTCTACAGTCTATAGTGGAATCCGAACCACATTTTCTTTTGTATTAAAGAAATGGTTTAATTATAAGGATAGTACTGCGGATAGTCTTAGTACTCACTAGTGCGGACGTTAATCCACACCAGGGAGTATCGCATCCACAGTGCATGCCTATCTACAATTCATGACCTCCTCGTAGCTAGATAACAGGACGACGCCACCGTGTATATACCATTGATACATAACTAACTACAGTAAAATGTAAAATGTCAAGTTGTATTGGGATACTTACTATCACTATGTATTTTTTTAACCATATACGATAGCAACAACACATAACTATAATCGGCAAGTTATTTCTCATTAGTTCATAAAATGTATTCCTTAAACATTATCCTTAAAAAAACACTACTCGACTAATATTTTAACTAAATTCGGATAGAGGTATTTCAATTTGTTACTGACAAAAGCAGGAAGTTTGTTCTTCCGAAAGTTTGCCAGATTACCAAGATAATTTCCCATTTTTGTGAACATTATTATGAACCTTTCTTATAAAAAATAAGTAAATTTATCAAAACACTGAAGAAACAGACGATGAAATGTTCCCTGAAGGTATCTACGATTGCGAATTCCAATACCAAACTGAGCAGAATCACATCTTCACAACATTCCATCAACGACCGCCAGCTCGCAAATCTAATTTGTTTTCCATTTAGGGAACTTGTTAACCACAGCCTTGGAATATTTGTAATATCTCGTCGTTTAACATAAAAAATCACATTTTCAGTCCGTAGTCTTAGTAACATGTTTGTATGTAAAGGATGTGAAATCGGACAAGTTTAAAATATACTCTTTACACCTGTCATTAAACTATGTTAATTAGAGCTACACGCACTTCAAAATAGATTTTTTCTGACTTTTAGAGTATTTAGCACCATAACGATTATGTCTTTAGGCTTTGCTTGTGTACAGTACACTACAGAGAATAGCAATATAAATTGATATTACTTATCTGTGAGTAAACGCAAGAGGTAGAAAATATTACAACCAGCCTTAGCCAGATCTATCCTTGTACATTGGACACGTCCTCTATACGCTACGCATGGATTAAGCGTTATCCTAAACCGTTCAACACTTCACCATACCTCAACCCTCAAACTTTTCCATTCTTCCCACACACATAAAATGTATAGAGTTATCAACAAGAGATCATAAGAGACACAAGAGAGATTAACAAGAGATGTATAGTCTTAATAAGAGATCAAAAAAGTACTTCATACTTACAGATAAGAAATAGTTATTTGTGTAACTAGTGGGCGAAGTGGCACTATGCTGACGAGAGAAATGTTTACGCACGAGGCGTAGGGGAGTGTGGAAAGTTTCTCGAGAGCAGCAAAATGTAGTTTGCACTCGTGTTACACATTATATTTTTCCTACAGTTACTATAAAGCATATAAATAATTAGTCTTTCAAACAGAGTAAACAACACGTTTTAGGTTAGCTTAAATCCAAACATTGAATGAAATGGGAAACGCTGCAACAGCTGATCGTAGGTTTTCGTAATATCTAGTGTTGCCAAATTATTTTCAAGCAACTCAATAAAAGCACACTGTTTTGTATTGTTTGGTTGAATACTGGTGTGCACCAAAGTAAAAACTGTGCGCCAAAGTAAGGCTTTCTGTACTATAAGCTGTGCAATGAAGCCTACTTTGTCGGGTGTAGGAAAAATACATTTACACGATTTTTGCGCTGACGTAGAAATTACAGAAAATATATTCAATGAATTCTCTTAAATTGCTTATTTTAAAGTTCTATTATTATATATTCGAGTTTTCAAGCTTAGGTTCATCAACTTTGGAGCGTTAAAGTAATCAAAGTATTCGATGATATCGGTTACAACAAGATAAGGCTGTAACTCTCCAAATAATATCCAAATAATATTTTATAGTCCGCTTAGCTTAGCAGCCGTATTTTGAATATTTATGCCTCCTCCTGATTAATAGTAACAAATGAAAGAACAACTTTTAAAACAGACAAGACAACTGTTGTATGACAAGCAACACATTGTCACTCACACTCTTAGTTCCCAGCAGTTTCTGTTTCTCTGGACGTGTGTGCGTGTGTGCGTGTGTTTACACACAGACAAGAGCTTCCACGAGCCATTAGAACCAATTTAAAGCCGTTACTTTCAACCCGCCTCGCCTGACGAGTTCTGAGTCAACCGCGATAGTTGCTAGTTGCGAGGAATCGCATCGTAAAACCGGAATCGATTGTTACCTATTCAATACTCGTCCAAGGAAAACACTTAGAATGTCTTAATGTATCTTCTTGCTGATATATATATACTT